TCTGAAAAAAAGGTTCAGTTCATATTTTTGGCTTTTAAATGAAGACTACAAAAAACGCCAGGTTGAAAAGAAGGATGAAAAACTACCATTAACTGTTTGATATAAGTTGCCTACTGTTCAAGTAAGTGAATTTTTTTAAATCAAAACCGCCTTTTAAATGAATGTCACTATGCATATATATATATAAATATAGATATGAATTTACTTACTTTTGGTATCTGATGACTCTTAAGTGACATCGTTAGGCTTAAACATAAATATTGTGTCTTTAAAATATAGACCCCACACAGTTGACAGCAAGCCTATTTCCACTGAGAATCAAATATACTACAACTGGGGGAATATCTATTGAGAGTATTTAAAATATATAAGATGGAATGACCATTTAATCGGACATACACTAGTTCTAGAATTTGGTACTCAAGATCCTTTTTTAATTGATCATTCTCCCATTATATGTGTATGCTACTGGTTAATGAGGTTGTGTATAGGAATAAGCTTTATAAATTAACCGTTATATAATGCTAAATAATCCCATGAAATATAACAATTTTCCAATAGAACTACTGGCCAGAAATAAGTTCGTGGAGATACAATCTTAAATTAGATAAGGTATAGGACGATGCCTCCTTGAACCCACATCTTTTATACTTCCCTCTGTTATATACCTTATAAGACCCTAGTTCTAGTTAAGTTAGCACGTCAACCTCTCTTTCGAGAGGAGATATCAAAAAAAAACATGCGTCGCGCAACAACAAATATATACAAACAACTAAACATAAAGTTTAAGCAATGAAAATAGATTGATAGATTGTGGAGTTCAAATAAAAGAGTAATGTTATATCTACTACTTTAATTTCATTGTTAGTCGAGTTATTAGACAACTCGGTATAAAAAGTTGATATAATATATGGGTTCAAAACACTTCGTACTGGTCTATAAATTATCCAACAATGAAATCTTTTTTCACTTCTTGACACAGCATACCGATAGGTATATGTATTCCAATCTTACCATTGGCGAAATCACTTTGTTTTACCATGGGGAATTGGTTCAGTAAACTGTCAGTAAACTGTGAGTAACTGTATAATGTACCTATTTCTTGTTTTAGTTTTCCTCGAGACAAAGAAAAAATATAAATTGTGTTGAGCACATATAGTAACTTCTCACATCCAATATATTTTGTAGTTTCAGTTAAAGAAACTATGTTGACCTCATGGTTTAACGTTTCATGGGGTGCACATTGAGGAACAGAACGAAAAATTGTTTTTCAAAAACAATGACGATGCCAATTATCCCAATCAAATCTCTTGTAATAAACTGCTGAAAAGTCTTAGTTGTTTTTCATCAACAGCTTAAGTTTTGACAAAAAAAATAGTAACTTACTGTAATTATGTCTTATAATAAATACTTTCAAGAGAATAGTAGGAAAAATGTTTTGCCTAATACATCCCACATATTAAACAAATCATTTAAAATATAATGTATTACCTTATTCCAAGAGGGATCAATCTATAGTAGGATGGAATAATTCAAGTAAGAGAAAAATAATAAGATTTTATTTGTTCAAAATTACACAACATTTCAAAAAAAAAAAACGTTATCAATTTTGTTAAATAAAATTAAAGTTACCTTTTAAATATAACTTTGCCAAAAGACGTACTGGATATTATAATTGCTGAAAATAGCCATTCTTTTTAGGTTTATAATCCCTTTGAAGATTTATGTCATACATGAAATGCTGCTAAAGAAAAATATCTCACAGTAACTGAGAGAGAGAGAAAGACCATATTTTTCTTTAGCAGCATTGCTTGGATAACAGAAATTTTCAAGGGAACTGGGAAGCTAAAAGGGGTAGCTATGGTCGGCTCAATCACATCTGTCAATGAAAAAAGAAGAAATATTCTCATGATTTTGAAGGAGAGACACCTAAAGTTAGAGTTATAATGGGAACGAAACTTATTTCAAATCATATCGACTGTTCCATAATAAACTTGGTCTGTTTAGTGAACTGTAAGGTGAGCTGCGTAGATTACCTCCAGATGGTTGGCCAGATTAGAAAATTAGGGATGGTGGAAGAGCTAACTACATACGGAAAGAATACCACTACCGATTGAATAATGAGGTTAGTTAAGAGATAAGCAACATTACTTGAGACGTATATGTCAGTGTTCAGGTGGCCACATTTTATGATATATCTTCTCCAGGAAATTTGCTTTGATGCGGCCAGAACAAAGAGCAGGAAGGTGAACAGTTAAAAACTGTAAGAGACATCCTAGAGGATATCACGGCTACAAATGAACCGGAGAAAGCTGGAAGAGAGCCTATTTTCCTCACAGGCCCCTTATAACAATTACTGTATAACGAGAATACCGGTAGATCGACGACAGAACTTGTGAACAATTTTGGAATAGGAAGAGATTATTTGCCAAAAATATGTGATGAGTTCATGTCACTACCTTACCACACATTACTGAACGATATATATTCCTGTCCTCCCAGTTTATGCAACAATTGATTTTACCACAGTCGACACCATGGTAGTACAATAAAGAGATGAGTTAAGCTGTCGGGTACCTAGTATGCTAAATTTCAATTATTCTGAGATTTAGCAATCAAATCCAATATCTTATTATGAAATATACACTAGATGAGGATGACTGGCATATATTACCCAGAAATATTTACAGCCACACCTGAAAAATCAATTGCTTGATTTTAAGTATAATTTGAGAGCACATCTTGTCCCTGATTCGGTTGAAAATGCATGTGTTGACAGAGTAAAAAGATTTGAATCCTTTTGGGTTATTCCACGAACAATATCTTGTTATATTTAACCTAGCGTTAAAGAAAAAGCGGTAGGCAGAACAAGTTGGTTTAGAAGATGTATAGCTAGAGAGGATTTTTGCAGATCTCGATGTAATGAGACTAATTTCCATTGTTAGGGACACGGGGATATTTAAAACAGAATCTAAGGATATGCAGAATGCCATATAAGGTTGACTGCAGCAATAGAAAGACTGCTATTATCCAGGTGCGACTAATAACGATGTGAAATATTTATTGGTCGTTGGTTTGAAAATTTGTTCTGTCGGAGAACTGTAAAAGTGATGACGATACTTAAGAAATGTTTTACTTTATTTGTAAGAACCCATTTTGGGGATCTGTATCTAAATGGCTATAACCCTCAGTTTATTTATGTTTTATGTCTTCCTCAATTTTAATAATATTTCCAACTAGCTTTATACGTTATAGTAATTGGTATTGGAAGTCCAAAACTACTGTTTTTTATCGATTAGCGATAATAAATAAGGAACTAATATTAATAGGGTTTCAATTTCATGCTGTAATTTCCACCAAATTGTGTATAGCAACAAACTGCCCGTTCTTGTTGAATGTACCACCGTAGATACATTAAGTATATACGAATATACTTAATGTGCCAGTTTCTTGCTTGGCTGGGAACCAGACAGGGTTATTGATACAAGCAAATCCTCATCTCGCTTCTCATACCCAGTACTCAAAAATGTAAAACGTCTAGTTGTATGAAACTTACAGATATGTTTAAGTGAAAGTTTTTTTTCCTGCTGTTTGCTTTCCCTTATCTTTCTGATTACAGAATTTTTTTGAAATTTTAAAAATGGTTGGTCTGCTCATTATTTTACAACATCAAAAGAGAGATGAGTACGAATTCGATGAAATACATCACAACATAGTACATCTTGGTGACATTTTACTGGAATAGACTAAATAAATATCTTAATCATAAGAAGCAGTAAAAATGCAATTCTCTCTCCACTGGAGCAAGCAAGGCTTACCGTTCTTAACAGTTAACGAATCCAAGAATAAACAATACGACTTTCTTGAAACTGTAGTAACTACTTCTCATCCTAATGATGAAAAGATACGAACTCTAAAGCTTCTGCATCTTGAATAAAAGAGTTACAAACTACTTGATAATTTTCTACATATAGTAGACGTAATAGGAAACAACCTTAAAAAAGCAGAAGCACCCACAAACGACTTTCCCCCAAAATGTTTGATGAAAGCTCATCATGGCCGCCTGCTCAACAAATTCCAACAAGTAAATAACACATAGCGTTTGACGTTGAAGAGCTATGCTAATTATACAGGTGCAACTCGGCTCTAATTACCAACCATCCTAATAAGGTAATAGAAAAGGAATGTTGTGCAGAGTAATAGATTCCATTTTTGGTTGAGTTTTCTGAAAAAAATACAGATCTACGAGCGTCTGACACCTTCGGTAGTTTGAGTCTGTCTTTTATCTTGCTCTAATTGTTGGCCATGAACGAATCAGATGCAACACATCGCTTTTTGTTGTGAGCTCCGTGGAACTTTAAATACAAAAACTGTATTCACAGCGATGGAGGGAAGAGCATCACGGAGTGAGAGTTGCACCAACTTTAGTGAAAGCCACACATGCAAAATTACGTTTCACGTTCGCCATATGCAACTTTAGAGAGGAATGACATAATTAGAAATAATTCCTGTTACTCTTTTGTGAGTTTGTTGAAGAGAGAACCTCTAAGTTCCTTAATTCTCCACGGAGATGGGAATTGTAGATATATGTTCACAAGAGTATGATGACAATGATGAAACTGCGTCGTATGTTGGAGATTTAAACTTATTTGAATGGTCAACTAGTCTGTACTGAACTAGAAAGCACAAGTAACTTTTATTATTTCTTAGGATATCTGCGTTTCATCTCTCTCTTAAGAGTTACCGTGATTGGTTGGAGAAATAAGAGTTGGGAGAAGCCTGTTTTAAGAAATAAATAAAGTATGACACCGTTCTCTCTGGAGAATTTTGAGTTATATTCTTTTCAATCTTTACCCACCTCAGAACAAAGCTATAAATAGGAGCCATTTGTTATTTGAAATGGTTTTTATTCACTTGGTATAAACCCTATTCTGGTTCTAATTTAATCATTACATACACAATCACAAAGTTTTTACAAAGTTTAACATATATACCCAAGAATGGCAATATTTAAACAATTATCCACCACCCTAGCGTTTAGTGCTTTAGCTCTCAGCGCCGCAATCTATCCCAGAGAAGATGATACCATAAGTACGAAACCTGCTTGTGTTAAGGCAGATGCATTAGTACCATCTTTTCAAAAATCGATTGATACCATCTTGTTTGACGCCGATTACAAAAATGCTTCAATTGAAAGATTAAGTGGTGCCGTTCAAATCCCTACTTTGATGGATGATGATCCACCTAATCCAGAAGAAGACCCAGATTATTATTCAGAATTCATTACTCTACACAATTACCTAAATGAAACCTTTCCCTTAATTCATAAAAATTTAAAACTTGAATTCATTAACACATTTGGGTTATTATATACTTGGACAGGTTCTGATGCATCACTAAAACCTATGTTATTCACAGCTCACCAGGATGTTGTCCCAGTAAATAATGATACTATCGATGATTGGTCTTTCCCTTCTTTCTCAGGACATTATGATAATAAGACCGATTCTCTCTATGGTAGAGGTTCATTTGACGTGAAAAATTTAATGATTGCTCATATGGAGGCTGTAGAAAAATTACTAGAAGATGGTTATCAGACAGATCGTACAGTCTTGTTAGCTTATGGGTTTGATGAAGAAGCCGGCGGTTCATGGGGTGCAAAGTACATTGCTAACCATCTTGAAAAGGAATATGGCCAGGGTGGTATAATGGTGATGTTTGACGAGGGTCCTGGCTTAGTCAAGCTTGGTAATAACACGTATGTTGCTGCTATTCCTAATGCAGAAAAGGGTTACCTGGATGCTGAAGTCACAATTAACGGTGTCGGTGGTCACTCTTCTTCTCCACCTGCTCATACTACAATTGGTGTTGCTGCCTCTATGATCACTTCCTTGGAAGATAACCCACCATTTTTTAGTTTTAATATTGAAAATCCATTGTACGGTTTCATAACTTGTGCTGCTGAATATTCAACTTTACTTCCTATGTCGATGAAGAAAGTGGTATTGGGTGCTTCTACTAATAAAACTTTAGAAAATCTATTAGGATTAACTCTATTCACCACTGAACTAACTAAAAACTATGTTACTACTACTCAAGCAGTTGATTTAATTGACGGAGGTCTTAAAGCAAATGCTCTACCAGAGACTACCGAATTTACTACTAATTACAGAATTGCTTATGGTTCGTCAGTTGCAAACACAAAAAAAAGATTTTTAAAATACGCAAACCTTACTGCTGCCTCATTTGGTTATGGCCTCATAGTCGACAATAAACAAATAATCAATACTACAAGTCTTGGTTATATAAATGTTAGTTACGTAGCATCGTTAGAACCATCTCCTGTTTCTCCTTCAAGTGGTCCAACGTGGGATCTACTTACAGGCACGATCCAAAATTTATTTGTTAATGATCTATGGGGACCACAAAATTTGGATAACAATGTCTACAGTGCAAGTGCAATTGTCACTACTAACACAGACTCCAGACATTATTGGAATGTTACTGATACCATATATAGATTCATTGGTGCTGTTACAAGCCCAACTATCTTGGAAACAATTCATAGCGCTGACGAACATGTCATTATGGATAATCATCTACAAAGTGTTGCATTCTTTTATGAGTTTATTGTTAATACTAACGAACATGGCCAAGAGATTAAATAAATACCCAAGAAATATTTGCATGACACGATGAAGTTCATAATGACAAAGCTTTGACTCTTTTTGGAAAATGTTTCAGACAGAAGTTCTGAATTCTTATTATTAAATATATTTATTTGCTATGTAACAATTTCATCATTATTCTTTAGACAGCTTTTATGTTATCTTTTAAGAAAAACCCAAAGTGTAAGAGGCGGGCGTTATTTTCTACCCTTACTTTGTAAAGAACTCAATTGTTAGTATGGCACATGGCAATCGGGTGTGCTGGTTGTTTATCATAGGTGTAAAATCTATGTCAGCCTCTCATTAATTATTTATATTCTAAACTAATGCCTTATGCAGCTTATGAAACAGTTGTTGTTTTATGCTTGTCTCTGGAAAGAATTTGTATTGTAGAAGGTCTCATTAATGTCCATTATAGCTCATCTCCCATCCTCTGAGTATTCCACCTTACCCTCTCTCAATATCATGTATTGCCTTTGATATATATCATTGCATAATTGCATTCTATCTAGTGATTTAACGTTATTAAAGAACCTTTCGAAACCATATCATTACCTTAAATTATGTCAATAAGATATGCCTGCTGGTGTATTACGTATGCCCCTGATAAATTTTATCTCTAATGAAATTGTGGATAAAATTTCTTAAAGAATTCAATTATCAGTTGTGATGCCTCTCACAGTTTCGTTTTTCCATGAGAGTAGCCATCTCACATCAAAAACACAGCATTTGTATACTGACAAAGAAATCTTCCCATACTTCAGGTATTATGCTATAACTTGACTGGCGCATAGTTCATCACACGTATGTGTGCAATGCATGAATTGATTTATTTTATGATCTTCCTGGTCAAACTATAACTTAAACTATAATATAACAGTATAGAGCAGTATATGCTTGAAAATCTGTAATTATAACCTTAAATAGAATACTTAGAAAATATGTTTATAAATCCTGTCACATCATTGGAATGAGTAAGATTTTCAGCATATTGTGAAACTTATAATGCAATGTTTTCGCACAATATAATCACCAAATTGGAACCAATTTAATAATTTGTTTAATGAAACATACATCAGATTATGAAATAGTAACCAGTATTTAAGTACAATGTAAAATTTTTTGATAATGAACAGGGTTTACTTTATTATCAAATTTTTTAATTATAATGCACTTGTTTTGAAATTCATTTCGTGTAACTAAAATGAATTATCTACAATATATTTGTCACAGCTGTATTTTCGTCCCTAAAACTTCAATTGCAGCGTTTTTAATCTTTAGTGGTTTCCTTGCAAAAGAGATTTATTTTTTGGAGGTTTCATTGAGCTATACAATCATACAACATAATTTCTAACATTTACAATATCCTTAACCTAATTCTACCAGAAAGATACGTTATCCTATTTTTTTCCTGAATTTTTCTACCTATCATGTTTTATAGAAATAGTCTAGAAATCTAAACTTATATCTCTCCAGCATTGATGATACCATGAATGCAGTCTATTAAGTGTCCTCTTAAATCTCGAATGCACCATTCAGGTGCCATTACTTTGAAAACTTTGAATTCATTGCAATATAATCAATACCATTGAACAGCACAAATGTGGGGTAGATCGAGACCTTCAATGAATACTTCCAAATTTGACTATATGCTTCCATATCTGCAGCTGAAATATTTTCATAGGGTAAGAAAGACTTGCTGCTTTAGCAATACACCGCCCTATGATATGGAAGTCAGCTTAGATTTCTTCGCATCTATTGTTTTTCCCAACTTCGTAAAACCCAGCGTACCAGGAAGGAATAAACTTTCAACTGCTATGTGTCCATCCACTAGTGAACTCTCATTTAATTATCTACACTCAAATCTTCCAATGATAGACCTCGAGAAAAACCGCCCTTGAAGCAATTTACCTTTGGCGCCCTCAATTGTAAAGATTAAATCGCCAGTCTTATTTTTAGTGTTCGATCTAAGTTTACACACCAAAACACCCAGACGGACAATTAAACATATTAAAGAGTAGCCGCATTAAACAGCGCACCAACTCCCCCACAGAATTTAGATATGCCACTGAATGTATCAATTATTTATTGATATTGAAATAATTCACTATTCACTAATAATTAGAATATTAAAGAAAATTCAAGAAAACTTTAAATTTCCTTTTGCATATATGCACCAAAATGCTCGAGAAGTATGAGGTGATGTTTTGAAAATCCAAAAAGGCTCTCTTCATTAGTCTAAATGCACGACCAAAAGCATCATTGAGAACTTTCTTTTAACAAAAATTTGCAACCCCCCTCAACACTTCGGTTCAAGTGAAAAATATGAAGAACGCTTAGATCGTTTCTCTAAAGCTGGTGGATCTGCAATGAGTGGCTCATCTATTTATTTTCAAAAGAGAGCTTGTTTATGACCGGCTCCAGAATCAATATTTTGCTACGCCGTTAAGTGGAAGGAGAACACAAATGAGGTATCTCCGTCCACATTATTACTTAATGAACATTATCTTTCCTTAGTTTTAATTTCTCTATTTTGTCATGTCTTTCTTTCTAAGTACCTTTGCAGTATGGCAATAACAAAAAGAAGGAATCTGCCCACTAGACAATCAGCTGATTTTTGCAGATTACATAATTGGATAAAGGAATCATAAGATTTGGTCATAACCATCTTTAACCAAAGGGTCACCCACAGAACCCCTCCGACATACAGAGCTGGGTTTTTAAGCTGGCTGCTGGCTGAACCAAAATACGGGGCATGATTGTTTGTGCTGAGAGTCTTGTGCAGGTCGCATTGTCTCTGCTACCACACTGGTAAATCATTTTTCTCTCTCTTTTGTGATCGACCAACAAATCTCAGGAGGTTTTAAAAGGGCTCTCTGCAGATCTTTCTGAGACAAAAATAAGATATAAAAAATAAGATCGCGTGTGTAGAATCTTTTAGGAAAAGAAAAAAACCCAATATTGAACCGAAGGAAGCGTGCAAGATATAATTGAATCTGTAGACCCAAAGAGTGGAATATCTTCTGATGGAAATTGAGAGAAATGTATCATGCTCTCCAAGCAATTAATAGTACAAGTATTTTCATTTTTCGAATAATAATTTAATCAAACATAAATACTATAGTGAGCTGGTCAAGTTTTATAACGCTATTAAGAGCATGTAGGATCTTCCCGTGGAACGTTTCTAAATATTTACACAAAGTTTGTCCTTGTACCGCAGCTCACATAGGTGCATATTATTAGTTACAAACAATTATTACTTAATAACAGGAGTTGATTAGCTGGGACAATTGAATAATGAGGAGCAGAATGAGGTAAAAGATTATCTTTGAAAATCATTTTCTTTCTAAATATATAAACAGCATGCATATTCATTTTTCATTTTCTGAAGCAAGACAATTCCTTTTTCTTTAAGTCTGATTAATTCTATCAAACTATCAACACGTTTTAAAAACTTGAAAATAACGAATCTACATTTTTTCGTCAAGAATAATGAGAGTTTTTTCACTAAACATTTTACCTATAATTACATTACTCATTTCTTCGGTAGTTGCCGATCACTCAGTAGTAGATTGCAAGCAGAGGTTACTTACCTTTGACAAAAGAGCATCGTATTATTTTTTAGGGTTAAGTCCTTTGAATGGCCTTCCTGAGGATTACGTTCGTGGAACAATATGGGACTTTTTATATGATGTTAATAATTATCCAACCACCTTAGTGGAGGATGAAACAACAACTATTAACTTTAATCAACAAGTTGATGTAGATGAAGATACTGTAGCTGAAGGTACTATATACGGCCAAGAAGTAACAGTAACAAATTTCACGGTAGTCATTAATGGTTATCTTTCCATTCCGGAAGATGGTTATTACACATTTAATGTTCAAGCAGACACTGGTGCATATGTCTATATAGAAAATAATACTGCGTCATATTGTTGTGACACCGGTTACGTTGATAGACAAGCTGAACAATTTTTCGTTAGTAATATTCCTTCGGATCCAGAACACAATAAACCAGAGGACTCAGTCTACTTAATTAAAGGTTTTACTTATAACATCCATATAAGATATATCAATCAGAATAGTAGCGCAGTTTTTGATCTCTCAATGACTGATCCAAGTGGAGTTGTTTATTCCGATATTGATGACTTTTTGTATACAGCGGATATTAGAACTTGTTATTATGTGAACGCAAATGTAACTACTACTGCTACCTGGACAGGTACTGCAACTGAAACAATATCCAGTTATACTAGTATTTACAATAACCTTACTATCAGTATCTACACTGTCAATACAGTTTATGTTGTTGGTGTCCCAGCAGCATCTACCTCGGATATTTTAACATCCTCTTCAAGTGACCTTGCATCTTCCAGTGGAAGCAGTACATCTGTTTACAGCGTATCATCTAATGAAAATTCAGCTTCTAGTACTATTGTAGTCTCAAGTAGTATTGCATCATCATATAGCGACTCATATCTATCGAGTTCTGGCCAATCAAATAGTGCTGAATATTCTTCATCCATTGTATCTGCTTCATACAGTTCGAGTATTGGCGACATTTCAAGTTCTAGTGCTACAGAAAAATCCAGTTCTAATATTATATCTTCATCATCAATTAGCTCTGAAATCGATCCAACTCCAAGTTTCACTGGATCCTCAGAATCCACAGATATTTTAGTTTCTTCAGGTAGTTCAATTTCATTAAGCAGTGTTACTACGTCTACTTCCATCATTACAAACAGTCTGTCATCAAATATCACGAGTAGCCAAACTATGTCAACATCCGACATCTCATACTCCTTTTACTCATCGTTTGGTACCACCAAATCAGATATCGATGCTTCAGCGTTGTCCACTTCTAAAGATTCTGAGTACAGCGATTCTAATTCAAAAACATCATTATCATAAAACAGTAAGAATACTCAAGGTACAACCTATTACACTTCCACTCTGGTTTTGACTGAAACAGTGACAACTTTGTGTTCCACAGAGGT